TCCTTAACCATACATAAATCCTCCTCAACCACCTCCTTAAAATGTCTCAAAGGTATTTGTGTGCCATCTCAAATTATTTGAAATGTTATATGCAGTATAATTACATTTACATAATCATTTAGCAAATCAAGCCCAATAATGCCTACATTTTCTCAGCATCATGGGCAGATTACCAAGTCTTTTCCTTCCTTCACTGAAATAATTTTTAAGCTTCTTCCTTCTTTTAAATGTGCACCACTTATTCCCACGGTGTTTGGAGAACAAATCAAGTGCTTTGAACTACAAAAATACATAATACTACACCAATGCATGTTCTTTTATCAGCCCAAAGCTTTTTTCTTTCTTTATTCCCCCAGGTTTTGCTCACTTCTGGCAGTTCTCCATCTATCAAATAGGCAGGAATGCAAAACAATGTTAACACATCTCAGTGCCAGCCTCCCTCCAATCTCCAGTGTGTGTTTAACCATCAGCACTCCTGGTGCCACCTCACAGTTCTGGAAAGCTGTGCTGACATTTAGAGAGATTTGGAGATTTTAGTCACGTACATTCAGTATCAGTTTTCATCTTCTTGGTTGCGGGGCATTTTCTTCTTAAAAATAAATTTAAAAACTTACGGTGTAGCTTGTGTTATAAAACATTTCAAAGGAATAATTATTTTTTATGAATTTGGCCCAGTTTCCACCATCTTACTTTTTAGCTTTGAATAGCAAGATACGGAAGCCCAAATTGCTTTGCAAATCCTTATCTAGATCGGATACACCAGGTATCCACCAAGGAAGGAAACAAGATCAATTAACTGAAGGTCATTCTCATCTAATTTTGTATGTGTGCATCCAAGTATATATTTAGATACAATTCCCAGATCTTCATTTTCACATGAAGTCAACCCAAATTTAAAAAAAAGGAAGCAATGAACCAATTCAAGTGCTACCAAAACAAACTACTACGCACCAACAACAGTTCAAAATACACATTGGTTATTCCCAGCCTGGAAAAGAAGCAATGCTGGGAGGTGGAGAAAGCTGGATGAAAAACAAAACCAGAGAGCTTTTGGTTTATAAACACAGTGTTTCAACACCAACTTTTCTGTTTATGCTCCCCACACTGTTACACTTGTCTCTTGGCATATGCTCCATCTGGCTGGGGAGATGCATCTGCTTCTTCCTGCTGCAGGCTCTCCACGTGCAGCTGAGCTCTCCGTGCTCACTCGGAGCCAGGAGCCAACAATCCCAGCTCTGATCCCTGAGATCCTCCTGACTGCACAGCGGGCACTGCTCCTCTAACAGCTCCATTAACATTTGGTGAAAAGGCAGAGATGAAATGGATTTTAATGCAAGAAAACAGCTGATTACAGCACAAGATTAAACTGGCTTGTTGACCCTGCTGAAAGCAGCAGCAGGGTCATTTACCTGCTTTGGCTGAACTATGACAAAACCACTCTCACACCAAACCATCAAAAATGTTACTGCCCATTATAGCCACCTATTCCCATGGTAAGGCATTTAATAAAAACATCCAAATCATTTGCTGGAATTTACACCAGAGCAGTCCTTCCACAAGAATGAGTATGATTGCAATAATTATCTGCCATAGTTTAAGAGAGATTTTTTTGTACTTTTTACTTGCAATTTTTATTACAGATCATTACCTATTTCAAGGACAGCTGTCAATATCTGGGGTATAACCTAAGCCTTATTCAGCACATTACTCCACACTGAAACAGCACTGAGCTACAGAGCACAGGAGAGGCTCATTAACTGACACCCACCCGGAATTCTCCTGGGCACAGATGCCAACTGGGAAAGTAGGTCACATCTTACACAGGCTCCTAAAAATCAAATCACCTCAGTCTGATGAGGTGAGATGAGGAACAAGCAAAACCCACCATGGCCAAGTGTAGGTGAAATAAACCCTTGTTTTCTGTATCAGTCAAGGAAAATTAAAACATGGAAAAAAGATAAAAAGCTGAGCTAAACAGGCAGGAAGAGCCACCTTCAGCCCCTGACTCCCAGAAGGGAGGCTGGGAGAGAGGGAACAACTGTGCAACTGCTGCTTTCTGAGGCCTTGCTGAGGGGCAGAAGGACCCAAAATGGAAGTGATATCTTATTGTAAATAGCCTGCAATCATCTTAACATCCTGCACTGAAGAAAATATACAGTGCCTGTTCATCTCCCTCTTTTCCTTTGGATTTAAAACAATCAATGCTCAAGGTCTCAAATTGTCTTTTATACATGAAAACATTTTGTTGACCATATGGATACAGAATCCTGATAAAACCTGAAATTCTTCCCATTTTACTTCGCAGAAATACTTCTTTCTTCAGGAAAAATAATTACTTGTCAAGAATAATCTGTTACAGAAAAAAAGTCCGTGAACATTAAAGCATCAAATGCTTTAACACCTACAGCAAGTCCTTCAAATCACAGACAGCACTTCAGCGTAACAATCTGCAACTGTGCCATTATGGGTTTGTAAAACCAAATACATGATCCCAGTATTGCAAGGATTCAAAGCACACACTGAATAAAAATTTCATTCTTTTCAATATCTCTATATGGTACATCTATGCTGTGCCAGAGCACTGCCTTACACTCCAGTAACCTCATGAAAGAGCAGGTATAGGACAGCAACAGATCATTGCCATCTACAATAACATGTTCAGTGAAAGATATAACTGCATGCATTAAAAAAAATTTCTAATATTCATTTAAGATGCCAGTGCTCTCCCTCCCACTATGTTTTCACAAACATTCCAGCAGCAACAGAAGACACCAAGCTCTGGGCATATGAAAGCAATTCCTATGCCAAAACTGAGCAGGAGACAACTACAAGGGGAAGATGTCTCATGGATTTCACTTAATCATTTACAATATTGCTATCTACCAGTACTGGAAATGAGTAGCAGCAGATTTGTTTCCACCCTCACCCAGCTTCTGAGCTGTGTGGAATTACCTTCCTTCTAGCCCAGGAAAACTCCCCCTCCTGCCATGCACACCAGGACCACAGTGGCTCCAGAATAGTTCCACCGTGAGCCAATGTCCCAATAAATGCCATTTGTCACATTCAAGGAACTACTAAACATCTATACATTAGCTGTAACTCCATACAATGGAATTACTTTTTATAATTCAGTTTAGTATGAATTTGACAGATTTTAGGTGCTTTGCTACAGTAAATTTCATTTGTTAAAACAGAATTTCAATGTAATTACAAAAAAAGAGAAGCCATTTTACAGTGTTCTTTCAGCATGTTTCCAAAATGCTGGTGATGTCACTGAACATCTATCACACTCCAAGCACCCATCAATCCAGAAACAAAAAACCCAAAAATATTTCACAACCTGGCTAAAGAGCACCCAGGGCTTATCTGAAGAGATAGGAGGCTGCATTCCTAAATTACACTGTATTTGAAAAATGGGAATAAAGTCCTGAATTCCACACTATCATAAAACATTAAATTCAGAGCAGAAAATTAGAAAGAATCTGCAGATGAGTCCCTGCATGTTCCCCCAGAGCACATCTGCCCTGGGGTGCTAAGTGCACTTTTAATGTACCAGTCGGGGTCAAACTGACTCTGGTAAAAAAACCCAGCAACAGGAGGAACCCCAAAAAGCAGCCTTGCACAGAATTATTCTGGAACAGGTCCTCAGTCCTCGTGATGTGAAGAAGCACCACTACCATGAGTCACAACACAGAGAGGCCCTGCATGCACAACAACACCCAGCTGAACTTGCATCCCTGTCTCAAAGCCATGTCTGTCACCATGCAAAGCTCATTCTGCAGGAATTGGGTTTTCCCTTCCTCTCCAGTGGCCATCCCTTATTTATGCTAATCCAGTGACTAAGCCTTCAGCTCTTCATGGCTTGTATTATCCCTCTCTTGAGAACTCAGTCCTGAAGACAGAAGTTGGGGAGGGTTTTTTTTCTGATCATAAAAGACAGTTGACAAATTAGCAGAGAATCTTCTCAGAAAGAAATACAAAGCATTTGTCTGTATCTCAGTTTTGTCAATCTGATTTTTTGCTTGCACACTCATGTACAAGATCAGCTAGTACCATCCCTGTACTCTGATCCCCTTGGCAATAGACTCTTCAGCTATTCAAGGCTAATCATTATTCTGAAATCATTCCTAAAAAGCAAGGCATTTGTTCAGAAGACAACTTCAGAATTTAAATTAAACCCTTAAGTCAGCCACCTGTTTTGGTCTATTTACAGGACTACTGGAGACATGCTCTGAAATGCAGTTACAGTACATCAAGGCTCCAATTGCCAAGAAAATCCTTGAATTCTACTGCACCTAATTTAGAAATTATGTACTGAAAAGAGTTTCTATTTAAAGCTCAAGCATTATAAAAGTAGATGAAACCAATACCTTGGAGTAAATATATTCATGTTATTCTATTACTGCAGAAACTGCAGTCGTTCTGCTGCTATTTTAATTGTCAGTCACTGGACAACAAATTTAATTAAGTTCGTTTATTCCACAGATTGGCTTTTTTTGGCTTTGTGTTTTTTTTTTTTTGCTGAACAAGGGGCAGCAGAGGTGGTGGCTGATCTGATCCATGTTCAAGATATGACTGGTGAAGTGGCTACTACCTCAGAGGAGAAAAAGGGCCAACTATAATTGTCTGTTAGGCTGAGGGCACTCTTCTGACCTTTCTCTCCCACTCAGTCAATTTTTTCTCCCCATTAAAACCTTTAACATTTCTCCCCCTCCTTCCCCAGAAAAACAACCATTTTTCACACCTCTATTTCCATTGCCAAATGCGATTGAAATCAAACATGTTTCCCAGAAACTGGCAGGGGGTGGAGGGCAGATGGGAAAACAACATGGCTGTAAAGACAAGTTATTGCCTTAGAGAAACCAGACTAAAAGCAGTAGTTTACATTTCATAACACAGTATTAAATAACTTAAAAGCATTTGATTAAAATATCTTAAAATGCTCTATGTTTTAATTATTAAGGAGATAAGAAGACTGATGTGTCTTCTCAAATTGTTACCTCAACGATATCTGAGTTGGTTCTGCTTTCATGGGGCTCGTTGTATTCTGTGTATTTTAGTAGAACTTTGTCCATGTCAGTGCTGGCATACTGAAAGAGTTTGTTAGAGCTGTTAAAAATGATGAGTGCTATTTCACAGTCACAGAGCACACTCAACTCATAGGCCTTCTTCATTAATCCAAACTTCCTCTTTGTAAAGGTGACCTAGAGAAGAAAGAATAATGATTGATTTATTTTTTTAAAACACATGACAAGGGTTTGAAGGAAAATAATCAAGGTATACACTGACTGAGCCTACAGCATTTACTCCTACTGTAATATGCAGCTTCACACAAGAACTACCTATAATATCTGGTGCCAATTTTAGGGCCCCATTTTCTCTATTAGACTAAGTTAAACAATTACAAAACACCCCAACTCTTCCACTGGTAAATAACTACCAAGAAGAGTTAAATTTTAGTTAGAGTTTTAGTTAGAATAGGGTAATTTAGCTTTATTTCCTCCGTTCAATAGACTGACTTTCCAGGTATCACAATATTTTCTTCTCTAGTACTCAACCTTAATTATTATAAAATCAAAGAAAACAGAACAATCAATGGAAGTAACACTTACTATGCACTATGATTTCTAATTATGTACAGCTAAAAAATATTGCTATTTTGTTGCTATTAAGTCATTTATAATTTGACTTGGTTTCTGCCACCTGGAAACATCAAGAAACAATTGTTCTGTCCAGTTAGAACTGCAGTGGGGAAACAAATCCACTACAAACCATCACACAGCAGCATCTGCCCATCAGGGAAGAAGGAAACAGTTATGGAAGTTACCATCAGTTAGGATTTAAGAAATTATTAAAAAATCATTCCTTTCATAGACAGCAGCTAAGGATATAAAAGTGTCACTGCATTTGACACCCCCTGTTGCAATTGCAGGCACGAGCCTCTGTGACAGGGGAGTGATCCACACACCCCACGTCCCACAGACAACAGCCAGGGAGATTTTGCAAGAGAGGAATGAAGTAAGACACCAGAAACAATCAAACCTGTTTTCTGGGTGTCTGTACTTTAATTACCAAGCTGTACAGCGAGTTTTTGGGAAAATGGGTGGGAAACTTCTGTATATACACACCTGAAGGCTTTTTTCTCCTCATTATCACACACATATTACTTTTTTAATACCATTAATAATACAAAGTATATTCTTTTCTTCCCACCATGTTAACAGACTCAGAGGACACACAGCTGTTGTTCTTCTGACACCTAAAAGGTTATTACCTGAGTGTGAGCAGGAATAGAGAGGTATTACTGCTTAGTGTTGGTCAGGAAAAAGGCATTACAAACAAAATGTGTGTGTGCTGTGTCACCTGGAGAAGTCCTCAGACAAAAGAATGAAGGTTTGCTGCCACTGAGGACCAGCAGGATCCTGGACAAAAGCCCTCCATTTCTTGACTGGAATTTTATCTTTCTCACCTCCTCTAAGGCTGCTTCACTTGTGAGATTCTCTGCTGGCATCAACTTCTCTCTTGGTGCCTGGACAGTGCTCAGCACAAACCCCTCTACCACAGCACCCTTATTCAACACACACAGATTATTTTAAACTCAGTTTTCATTTCAGAACCCAAAAGCAGTCTTGGTTCTCTGAATTTCTCTTTTTTTCCTGCTCCATTTAGGACCACATCAAACTCAAAAAATATGTCTCATTATTGCAGGTAAATAATTTCCCCAGCACTATTTTAATATTGCTTAGCAAAAAAATGGGTGAGGAGGAGACAGCAAAGGCAGCAAGATTGAGCTCCTTTGATATCTAATTTACTGTGCTGGATTCTCTTCAGCTTAATGAAGATAAATGTCCTACAGCTCATTCAAGAAGATAAAGCTGCTTAATTAATAATACAATGACAGTCTCATGACAATCATAATCCCCCTGAGGAATGGTCTATATATTCTGTTTTGAGCTCACATACAATCCCATCAGAAATAAGATGCTTCTGACAAAACAGTAGTTTTTCTTCCCACACAAGTTATATGAACTTGCTTTGCAGGTAAAGCTCTGTCCCATTTGCAAACACAGAAAACCTAAACCTCAAACTAAACACCCAACCAGGACATCATAGGCATGTCCATGAGTGCCCAACTCACCAGCCAGACATGCCATAGAAAAACTGACAGGACACAACTGAACTACACTTCCAGTCCAGAACAAACCCTGCATGCCCTCCTTACCTGGATCAATGAAAAAAAAATCTCCAGTAAATATCTTATAAATGCCCAGTGCATCAGGGCATTCCAATATGTTCCAATTCCATATCCTGGCTACCAAAACCACAGGACACCAGTGGGGATCAAGGCCATCAATACCTCTACATATAAAAAGTAAGATCCCACTAACAAAAACTACTTTATCTCTGTAAAACCTTTTTAAAAGATGCAGTGTGTTTTCATCTGAGTTTCCAGAGAAATAGGGTAAGGCAAGCCTAATTCTACTTTTAAGTCAGAGTTGAAATCCTCTTCCTCATCACTAAGTAGCCCAAAAAGGTGCTGCCAGAAACAAAACTAGAATTTCATCTCCCTATTTTGCTTCAGTCACAGCAATGGTGTAAGTGGTCTAACATTTTACACAAATGTACTGATTCTCTTCCTCTCCATTGTTTCAATCTGAACAATGGGATGGGGATTCAAAAGAAAAAAACAATTTCTCCTGGAAAAAAACCCCTCACCAAAGTCAGGGTAGAAGTGTAACACTATTTGTTCCTCAAGCAGAACAAAACCAAGGCTGCCCAACTTAATCCAGATTCAGGTAAAAAGGGAATAAGTGGGATCAATTCCCATCTCTTCCATGTGCTTTAAGTTGTAGAGCAAGATCTGAAAAGAACTGAAGTCATTAATTCAGCTACTTTTACTACGTGTACTTAAGACATTTATCTACATCAAACATAAAGTCACTGGGTGATTAAAGCTGTTCAAACACAATACTTGGCTTTCTCCCAAACTCCAATAATACTTTTCTTGCTATATATAGACTTCTCAGAGTTTACATTGCTTTAAAGTGATACAGGGAGAAAAACAATCTTGATCTCACCAACAAAACAATGGGCTCTGAGCTGATGTGTCAGCAGCAAGAGAGTCCTGTGGAATTCTGACAGTACCCCAACGTCAAGCTGCTGCTCAGAAGTTAAAAAAGGAAATCAAACAGCAGGAAGGGAACAGAACAAAACAGCAGCACAACACTATACTAGTCCATATTTTGCCTGTACCCTGAATTCTGGGTCCCTTGGCCATCAAAGTAATGGAGCAATACTCCAGAAGGTTTCAGGGAATAGGAGCAAGAGGTGTGAAACAGATTCTGTATTTAAACAGCTAAGCAGCTATAGCCTGAAAAAACTTTAAGAGAAAATAAGCAAGCGTGGACAGACTCCAGATAGAGAGTCACTGCTGGCTCTTCCATACAAGAGCTAAATAACTGGCAGAACCATGACAAAGGGCAAATAAAATGGTGTTTCTTGAAACAACAGGCAATAGACCTGGAGATTCTAGACAAAAGATGTTGTAAATGTTGCAACATTACAAAGGCTCAAAGGATAACTGAACAACTTCCCTGGTGGGGGGCGGGGAAAACAAACAAAAAAACCCATTAATGGTTACTAAATATACGGAAACCACATCCAGCTCAGGAAATCCCTGAGCTAAGAATAGTTAAAAGCTGGAAGAGGATTACAGGGTCGGGCACATGTGCATCTCCAGCCCACACGGATTTGCTCAGGACCATCGCTGGACAAAAGACCCAGCGGCCCCTTTGGCCTCAGCCACCAGCACTGCTCTTAAACACCTTAAGTCATTCCTGTAATAATTTGCCTTAAAAACAACAGCTTCCAGTTATCCCACTACTACATTTCAGTATCCAATTAAAATTTTATTTTGCATCTCATGCAGCAATTCAGAAATTAAGAGGAAACACTACAGCAAGAGTCATCAACTTTTGGTGCTTTTCAAGTTCACAGGGCACCTCTGTGTCAGGGCACCAGCAGCCAAGCGAGCAGCTTTCCATCAAACATTCATTTTGAGCCCTCTTCCTTCTGACTGACAATTTTGAAAGACTTTTGTAGCAAACAGCTCTTACAAGAAATACAAATCGATGCTTGTAAACAGAATGTTAACAGAATTTGTTACTGTATCCAAAGGACTGAGGATGCTGCCCACAGCCACCTCAAACTCCTCTGTCCAAGTGCTACAGAAAATAACCTTTACTAGATCCTTCCTGAGTGTTCCTAGCAGTTATCAGATCAAGCCATGTGTCTTTAAAAACACCCCTCCACTCTACTGCTAGCACAGCAGGATACCATTTAAATAGGAACAGCAATTTAAAATTTTAAATAGTAAGAGTTATTACTTATAAATAACATTTTTTCCTCAAACAGACATAAAATCATTGAGGTTTCTTATTCATATTCTGGCAAGGGCATCTGTGGATATATGAAGACAAAGCTCAGCTTTAGAACAGTGAATTAGGATGAATGTATTCAAACTTTCCATTAATTTTTAAGATTACTGATGGACCTGTTCATGCAGACTTGTTTCTCACCTGCCTATTCCGTTCATCCATTATTCTCGTGATCTGTATTTTCTTTCTCCCCATTTTCGCCTCTTCTTTCTTTTGTTTAGCAATCCAGAAATAAACTAATCCAAGAAATGTCCCTCTTCAGTGTTCTAACACATGATACAGTTTTCTTTTACTTTGTCTTCAGCTTGAGAAATGGTTCCTACTTCTTCTTATAAGCACCTAAAAAAAAGTGAAAATATTAATGTACAAATTACTAAAAAGGAAGTATCATTAAAAACCCATAGAGTCAAAAAACATGTGCATCATGAAATTTCAGTGAGAAATCAAGTGTTTTCATTAAAGTATTATACTACACACTGCCTTCTAATTAAACTCCCACTGGTTTGCTGCATTCCACGTACAAACTAGACTTAAAATGACCAATAATTTCACACACTTCCAACTGAATGCCTCAAAAATACAATTATCAAAGGGGTGGTGCTCATCCCTCTAAGCTTTAGGCCTTTAGTTATCTGAGGTTTCACACATTTACAAATTTTGGTAAACTCCATTCAATATTTTCGAAAACCTTATAAAGAAACATTTTGCGTTGCTTGTTTTCTCTTATGAAATTATCACAAAAATAACAAAACAAAGCCATGACAATATCAAGTTTCTGTCCCTAAGCCAAATTACATCTCCTTTTGTGAGTCAATTCTTGGGGTTCCACTGGGAAACAAAAAGGAGAAGGAAAGGGGGAATCTCTCTCCTTAAAAGAGCCCAGAGCAAACAGTTTTGCCACAGAAGTATTTCATGGTTACCATGGCACCAAGGAGAGCTGAGACCCAACACAGCTCCTCCCTCTCCAATAACCTGTAAGTGCCACATCTGCCAATCCCCACTTGAGCCCAGCACCTGTTTCACTGTTCTATTGTTCACCAAGAGAAACGTGCAGGAAACTTGAAATGCCTCTGTGCCACCACATTTAAACCTGCACTGAACTACCTGATATTTAACAAACTTCTAATGTATTTTCAGTAAATAATCACTAAACCATAATCCAGACATACTGCTTAAATTGTAGGACAACATTAGCTGAAGAAGACTGGAGATAAATTTAAATCAAACGGTTTCTAGAACATAAGGAATATACTAGAATGTACAGACATGAAATGGGTACAACTTATTTGTCTTATTATCACCTAATACTCATTCAAAGGGGTAAACCAGCCCCAATATTAGCTGAAAACCTCTCTAACTTCCCAACCCAAAACATCTTGTGAAGTAAAGCCTTGCAGATTTTAATCTGGGTGTCACCATGCCATATCCTCGAGGCCATGTGTAGAAAGTGGTGCAACCACATCACCATCAGCCAGTTAATGAGCAGAGACAGCAAGAGGCGATTAGTCACAGGCTGCACTTCACAATCCATTCAATTTACACCGAGGAAACAGACATGATGTTCTTGGGAGGAAAACACAGAGGTGGAGGAACATGACAAAATGAAGGGATGTCATTTTCTATTTACCTGACAGCAACAAAGGACTGCTTTAAAAAAACATCACAAAACGCCCAAGAGTATTTAGAAATACTATTTAATGAAATTTAAATTAAAACAACGCGCAGTATGATGTCCACTGGTCTACAGGATAACACTGTCTATAAAGCAAAGCATTTGAAAACATCCACCAACACTGCACTGCTTTTGTTTTCTTCATGAAAAGGATTTCTTCCAAGGTGCTGCTAAGAAGGTAATTAATAGACAGTGGAGACCAGATGAAGCAGCCTCTATACAACCAACAGCATCCAGGGAATATCTTCCAGGGAAACAACAGTTGGCATATAGATTTACCCCACTTTTGTTTAAAAAAAATTTCTCAGCTCATGCTATAATCACACATTAAATTTAGCTCTGGAAAAATCTGGTTGCATCCCTTGAACATACCTAATCAAAGGATCGCTAACCAGCTCTTAAAAATTGTTTTCTCCTACATGTGTGGCTTCAGTTTTTAAACCTCCCATGTATTATCGAAACAGTTCTCTGAATACAGAATTTCCAGGGTCCTTCCTCTGCTTTTAAAAGCACCCCATCATCACCAGCACACAGAAATGGCCACCACACGAGGCCAAAGACCCATCTGGTGCAGCATTTTATCTGTGGCTACCAGCAGATATCACTGGGATGGCCAAGGAAGAACACAGGAATAGAGGAATAAAAATATAAACCACATATTAGGTGGTTTTTGAATCAGGAACTTGTAGAGTTTTTCTGCCTCCTGCAACACACACTCAAAAGCAAGTCTATGCAGTGAATAAAATAAGGAACTCTGGGGAAAAGGGAGAGAGGAAAATAAATGAGATTATGCAATATATATACTAAAGAACACAAAGTAAGAGATGCACCAATGCTTTGTATGAGCCAATGGAAGGCACAGTAGCAGGGAAGCTCTGTTATCTGCTCTGTGCACTGCCACACAAAGGGAAACGGCAAACAGCAATTTGCACCAACACTCTGTTACAGCTTTGCGGTGTCATTTCAGCTCCTTTACAATGCCTGTGCTCTAGAAGGCATAAAAACCTCAAGCTATTCCCCATTTATGAGGGTTCACTGCTGCCTCACGCCAGGGCTGACTTTCCCTGGCCCTCAGCAGTTCCCGTTCCCGCTCGGGCTCTGCTCGCTCTCCCCAGGCCGCCACGGACCCGCCCTCCTGGAACCGCCATTCCCAAGGGAGCCCAGTCTGGGTGCAGCATCCCTGCCATCCTCGAGTCCCACTCAAGGTGATTTGCACAGCTCAGAACTGAAACACAAGTTTGGCTTGAGCTCAGGGCAGAAAGGACCTTGAAACAGCTGCAAAATCAGAGAAAACTGTGCAGTAAAAAGGCACTTTCCATGCAAGCCCAGAACATCCCAATGGGAAGTTACTGCCAGTGACAAGGCACCTTACATTTCCAATGAGAAGAATGACTTTTCCTTTTACTCATCCTTGATCATGTCACAGTTGTGGTTTCATTTTCTATCCTGACTAGCAACAAAAGTATGTAAGATAAAATATAAAACTGGGTCCAACATTGGGTTCCATCAGAAATGTAACTAGCAAAGGTTTCATTTTGCTAAATCATAGTTGCATTACAAACATACATTAGGTGAAGCTCTTAATTCACAAAGCCATTTCATGTAAATTATAACACACTTTTGCCCAAATAAAGGAAAACCTACTGATATACAAATGAAGATCAACCCACATTTACATCTGAGACTAAATCTGAAACCAACACAAAGTAACCTTGATGAAGGTAAAGTTCTACTTCCTGAAGTGACACAATCCAATCACAGCCACCAAAGCTGCTTCACATTACTTGCATGGGCACACACAAGCAAAAATAAGTTTGTCTTAAAGAAGGACTTCAGGTATAGATTAAACAAAATAATTAGAGTAAGAAGAGAAAAAGAAGGAAAAAAATCCCACATGTTTCATTACGAACTTCAAATAGAACATAATGTCAGCTTGCAATAAAGGCAAAAACATTATATTTGTCTTGTCCAAATAACAGCCTATTTGTTTCAAAGTAAACGATGCCAAATTTTCTGGATTTATTCCCTTCCCCAAAACCCGTGAAAACAGCACACTAATTACTGACAGACAACAGAACCACATGCAGAAACATACCCTCACAACTGCACATCTTCAGGAATTCATCTGAATTTGTTGTCAAGATTGATTTCAGTTTCACAGATTGTTGAGAGAGATGTAACTTTAAAGCAAGGAAACTGTATTTGACCTATTTAAAAAGATTCTTTCAAGGGTTCAGTGGAAACACATTATATCTGTGCAAAACTGCACAAGGTCTGGAAGCCTCCTGGCAGAACAGGTTAGGAAAAACTGTGTCAGAATCATACTCCTTCCATTTAATTTCCTTTTATTTCCCTCTGACTCTGTTTTCTTGAAACTTCCATTTCACCACCATGGTTACAGGTTCCATCTGACAGTCCCCGTCTCCTCACGGCTCATTTACTGCAATGCACACAAAGGAACAGTGTCCTGACGTCACATCATTTGCATGAAAACACAGATCTGCAGAGATGCATCTTACACAAGCCTTGGCTATGCCTTACTAAACAGCAGAGTCATTTGTACTGAACCAAGATTAATAGGGCTTTTGCTAGTCTTAAAGGAGCCAGTGCAGATATTTTTGTAGATATGGCCCCTCAGACTGATCACAGCTGAATGCACAGTTGCTGGTTTTTCTGACATTTTGCACACTCACATCAGCAGAATATAAAAATTCCCATTCACAGCAGCAGGGAGATGAGTCCCACACGTGTTGGCTGTTGCACACCAAGGCAGATAACAGAGGATCTCATTTTTCCACACTACTAATAATGGACAAATGTCAGTGTCCTCTCTCCCTGCCCCACAGCAATGAGTAGAAGTAGCTGGGGAAAAAAAAAGGAGTCAAAGAATGTCTTCACCAAAGTAATTTATCTAAAGGTTAAAGGGCTGTGTGGAACACAGCCAAACATGATCCTCAGACTCCATTTCACTGTCCAGAAGTGAGAAAGAACAACATTTTCTTCTTCAGAATTTCAAAGAGATGCAAACCATATAAAGTAAGTACACAACTGCAAACACCTTTCTTTTCTAAATCCCATACCAATGACACAAAATACGTTCACTCAGATACGACTGCACTGACACACACTGAGGTCCGTGGATGTCATCCCTGTGCTCCAGACATTCCACCAGCCCTGCTCCAAACTCCCTGCTACCACCTGGAAGCTAAATTTGAAAATGAAAATTCCCAGCAAAGGGATTTTTACATCCCTTTATGTCTGCACTTAACAGAGGCACACTCAGATCCTTGCTGGGGTTTTTGCAGATTGTGCAGAACCAGTCCCAAAGCCGTTTCCTGCAGCCACATTTCTCCAGCCCTGCCACCATATATTGCTGTAAGTAATGTCAGATATAATTGTTAAACAATCACACAGCTCCCCTTCCAAAACAAGGGTACATGCTGTCATTTATCTTTCCCTACTTGCTGCACCACAATCTCAGGAAATAAATCTTTTTTCCATCCTGAGTTTAGCAGCCATTCTTCTCCATCCAAGCAGAGCCTCTCAGTAAATGAGAGTGGCCTCACAGCTTCAAGGTCCTCTGCCACCAAGTGATACACAAGCATTGTTATAAAACAATAATATAACCCTTAGCCAAAATTACTTTTTTTTTTTTTAAAGTGGGACAATGTAAAAAACAGGAAGCCATAAACAATTCTTTATTGATATTCTGGTTTTATGCATCATAAAATACTTGTTTCTTTCAGCTGGGAAGAATAATGCACATCTCTGGTACAAGACAATTTAAATAAATTGTACTTTTAAGATTTGTGGAGTTTTGCAACCGAACATGGTCTCAGCTTCCACGCTAAAATCAAATCTATTTTTGAGCTCCTGGTTTGTAAGTAACAGAGCTTTTCAAATTATGTTTTGAAGGAATTAGAAAGGATCATGAAGGTTTTTCAAAAAATATCCCTGCTGAAGAACTGCACCTTCCAAGTGCTCCTTAAATCGACTGTTGCTGGGAAAGGCAACATCTTTTCTTTCTGCCATTTCCTCCATGCACTCAGCCCTGTCTGACATGAAGTGCAGGAACTCCATTTTCTTGCACACAGAACTACAGAAATCTGAACTGTATCAAAAATGAACTAAGATTCAAATGTCTGTTTTAAAACAAGTTTTATTACTCCTAGAATGCACTTTCAGGTTAGATTTTCCTGACCTGACGGACCAGTTTTCCAGAACTATCAGCATCACCCATGACAGCACACGCACTTCCAGACAATGGGACAAACGTGGCCTTGTCCAGGATCAGGGACAGCCAGGAATTCTGCTCTGAATTCCTGTTAATTAGGAATTCCTGTTAGGAATTCCAATTAAATGGCTTAAGATTCAATTATACTCAATACTCTGACTATACACTTTTTCTTGGCCTACTCTTCAATCCAAAAAATCTCTATCACCCTATTCTGAGTATTTATAATTGATACTCCCTGGAACCAAAGCAGCCTTTATCAAGGTATGTACATAGTTACTACCTCTTTTCAAGTAACACTAAATTCTATTTTATTAGTGCCATCCATAACTTTGGCATTTTCTAAACTAATTTATCCTTGCATTCTCAAAAATACATTAGAATATAGTTAGAAAATGAGATCTGGAAACTGCTGAGCTAACAGTGGAGAAAGACCACAGAAAGAGAACTAAACTTTCAATACTGGATTAAAATCCAATTTTAGATACAAGTAGAATATAAAATATTAAGTAATCACAAGAATTCTGCTGCCAGACTTCTACAAACAGATTAAGAAAATAACTGCATGACTGAATAGCTGTCTGGAAAACATGCTCCAGAGAGTTTCTCAAGAAACTTGCTCCTAATTTATCATGTAATTTGTTGAAAGAAGTGTCTTTTCCACGGTATACAAAAATAGCCACAAACAAAGATGATTCGGGACACTGTTAACAAAACAAACCCCAGTATGTAAAAGCTGAGGCCAAAAGGACTGATTTCCTAGTGAATGAACCACAGCTTTTACAACAACTATGTCAGTTTGATCACAATTTTAGAACTTTTGATCAGATAAATTCTCCCCTTTTTTTCCATTTACAGCTCTTGGAAAAGTAATGAACTAAATGCAGAAATGTAAATTTAAGTTTGGATACGATTGCTCCATAACAGAAGAGCATTTGCAGGTATTTAATTAGTGCAAAACTGATGTTTGACAGCTTTCACAATGACAAGCTCGAAGTGCAACTCAAAGCATTTAAACCCAGCTTTTAACCCCATAGACATCTGTACATTATAAGCCACAGAAGGAAGGTTTCTTTCCTGAAGCAAAATACACATATAAAACACATTAAATGTTTTTCAAGATCAAAAGCATTTGCCTCATTCTTATCAGGAGTTTGTAATGGCTGTGGAACTTAACTACCATGTGGCCAAAAACTGGCACCGAGCCACGTTTGTGTCATTACAGCTCCTCTTGGGCTCAAACGAAGGGAGCCACCAGAGGAACCTTCCAAAATGCTGATAAGGACACGTCTGCCAGAGATGGCTTTAAATTATACAGCCCTGGACCCACAACAAAAAGCTGCCACAAAACAGCACTCCTTTGTACAGGAGACAAATGTATTTTTTATATTTGTCTTGGGATGGGGATCACCAAACCCTTGCTGCTGCTCTCAGCAGGGAAAATAAATTTCATGGTTTAAAAGCAGCCTAACAATGACTGGGTAAGAGTCAGGTGAACAAAACACCTTCACACAGCACTGGTCATTAACTAAACAACAACTAATAGTGTGATCAATTAAAAGATTAATTCTCATATTTTCCTTCATCTTACAGTAAGAGAGAATAAAATACTTACACAGTACTGTTCAGTTTCTTATAAATATATTTACCAACCAGAATGGAACTTTCTGGTTTTGCAACATCTTTATACTTCATTAATCTTCTTCAGGCTCACTGATGCATCTTTAGATAACACTTAACATACCGTTAAGTCATGGCTTTAAGAAAAAATATTATCATTGTGAAATCTCTTTGCAGAAGTCTTCATATTTCATCAGTTACAGCAGTGACACTCAAGCTTTAATTACTGCTACCTTGGCTCATTACTTCTCCCATCTCAATTTAACTTTATCAATAGATCAGAGAATCCAGATAATCTTATTTTGCACAGCAACATGCATTTGGCAAAGGTGCAGCTCATTATCTCCGAGCTCTCACAATGGCTCTGCCCCACTTGTCACATCTCTGCTTATCTCCAGGGCAATCAGCAGAGCTCAGAGCACTGCCATGCCCGGAGCTGCTCACTGTACACACGCAGGAGATGGCTCACAGTTCCTGGAACAGAATTCAGCTGCAAAGTCCTAAATTCACCTGGCCACATTTCTGTGAAATTCTAGATAAGCAGCAAACTTTTTTTTTTTCTTTTTGCCTATGTGGTCACTAATCTTCTTCCTCCCTTTGTAGATAATTAATTTAAAGGTTTGCTCTGTTCTTTTTTTTTTTAACATGGTCATGCCAGGCTGAATTCAGTGGGTGGAGCATTTTAAACATAAGCAACAATAGGTCCAACTAAACTTAAATTCAGGTTCCTGGCATTTCTATATAGAAATCCTTACCCACACAGAGCACTGATCTTCCTTTTGTCTCTGAGAACATGATTTAAGCAGATCATCCTTTCTGAGGAGTACTGAAGCTTTTTGTGTGCATTTTTGGAGGGGGAACACTATTTTACAACCATTTAGAATCTCAACCAATAACCTACATGTAAAATCAATAACCTACATGTAAAGAACTGAACCTTCATAAACCAAAGCTAGACAAAAATATCCATCTATACAAGTTCTGACTTATCATAACCACATCTCACACTAGGTTATTTTGCAGAAAAAATTAACACACAAAAGCAACACGCAAAAAGCACAAATACGGTGCACTACTTTTACACACAGTTCAAAATTAAACAAGGTGTCAACTGAGCTAAATCAAGGAGCTACCTGACATAAGACTTGAAATATATAGAAATTAAGACAGGCAGGAAAAAATACTCAGAACACAGCCCATACTGTGTGGCAATGTTATGAGATCTATTACTCTTATCCTTCAAATATTCTCTTTAAAATTGCATTCAAATTCTGCAGGCTGCACTTCACTTTCCTCATAGCAAATGCCAAAGCAGCAATTCTGCAGTC